AAAAAAAATGTTTAAAATAATTACGTGTAACGTTTATACAGAATATAAATAAATATATATACTAACTCACCAATGTTTATGTGTGCTATATGTGGGTGTACCTGATATAACAAAATAATTATATAGGAAATTGATTAAAGACGAGTAAAAGAGTTTAGCTTCTTTCACATTCTTTGCTGGGTTATGAAACACATGTAATTGGCGATAAATATTTATGAACATTTTAAGTATAATAAAAATTTATACAGATACAGTGTTATCACACTGAAAAAAAAATAATAAATATTCAATAATTTAAGTTTATTTTGAGACCTGGTTCTGTAACAACATGAAGTAAAAAAAAAATGCAGTCCTTAAAAGATTTACATTTTTAACGGTGATTCAAATATATTTTCTATTTTGGTTTAAAATCCACAGTCCATTGCAATGTGTGTATACTTGTCTTACATTATAGATAGGTAGGGAACTGATGATTCTAAAAATGTATTTGTTTTTCACATTATTTTTCTCTATAACGATGTTGCTTTCTAATTTTGCTAATTTTACAATATTGTTACATAATTCAATTTACAAATATTTTTATGGTTCCTAAATACAACAGTAGGTACGTCATATAATTTTATGATATGATGAATCTAAAATTACCTATGGCTATTTTGTACCATTAGGGAGATTTCACGAGCAATAATTATAATATAAATGTGTTAAATGCTAATTATTATTTTGCTACAACAAAACGCGTGTACCTACCTTAATATTTTCGCAAATTTATTTTCATGTTATTTTCGTGTAATTATACTTTCTAAAATTATATAGACTCTGCTTAAAATTCTATTGTATTTGCTTATAATCTGCGTAACATGACCAATTACACTCGGTACGTATAATTTCAAGTTTCATCTCAGAAGGCCCTATATAGAATTCACTTCATTTCCGCACATTAACCCACTGTAAAAGTGAGTCGATAAAATTTTGTTTACAAATAATATTATGATCGATTAGTTTTACTATTTTTGTCTTATAAATCTGTAGCATTGAATAATATTGTTTTATAGTTTTTGAGTTTAAATTACTTATAATTCTAACGATGGGTACTTCAGTTATTCACAATCACATAGATTACAATAGTCTTCTCTTTTTGGATTCCGTGAGTAGATTTCAGTGTAGGTATAACACTACCTAACCTACTGATTTCAATCTGTAGAACGTGATGTCGCTGTTATGTTAGGTTATGATAGTAATAACATATATGTATTGTTATGACGTCCTCTTGAGTAGGTAATCATATTATTTATAATTAAAAACCGGAGTGGTCGTTAAGTCAAAAGCTTACAATTAAATTAAGTGGTTGTGGTACATATAAATCATGTTTACATACTTCATGATAGTTATTATTGAGATTTTTTTAAATTCCTATCCGGTTTTATCAAAATAATTATTTTCTTACCATGATTATAATGTATAATATTATTTTTTAAGCATACATATGATACATACAATGATTAGTTTAATTAGATAGAATTTCCATGTCATCAATTTAATTTTGTCTGTACATGTGTACCTACAAGGGATTACTACACGTCATCAGTCATCACATATATGGTATATACCTACACGTTAGTACATAATCGATGACAACTCTAATCAAAATATTTTGAAGTGTCTACGTCCACGAGAATAGAAGTTAAATGCTTAATTATTTGTTATTATTATATTATAAATAACTTTATAGGACTTATATTACTATAATATTTATAACTTGTTTACAAAAAAGTCATTATCAATTATTATTTATTAGCATAAGAAATAGTCAATAAAAAATATAATACATTGATAACTATCTATCAAACTTACAATTTTAATGTTACATTTAGTTATAATATTATTCCATACTAAACCAACAAATAGGTAAAAATTCAAAAAATGCAAACTAATTTTAATGTAATAGGTACCTACTACTACTGTATATTAAATTTTACACAAATTAATTTTAACTTATTTGAACAATTAATATAGAATTAGCTATAGTTAATCTGAAAATGTTGCATAAAATAACATTTAGATTTCTACTAATGATACCTATAGGTTTCAAATCAAAAATATGAATACATTTTAACAAGCGTATTACGTTCTAATATTGTATAAGATTAAGTGAAATGGTACCTAGTACTTATTTTATTTGGATTAGTTAGTGGTTTGTTACATGTCTTCCATCCCAAATCCCAGTTTTATAACTTCCTTAAACATTTCAATATAAAAATGTATAAGTATCGAATATTTAAAAATTTAGCATTAAATACCATTATCGGAGTTAAAATAAATATAAGGTAACTAAATATTATGACAAATGTACATATGTTTTTATAATACAAAATATAAAATGTAAATTGTTTTTTCCCCGCTAATGACTTCATTGTTGAATCCGTAATAAATATTTTTAAAAAAAATATGTATAAGTTAATATAAGATAAATAAATATCGTAGTATATCTGATTAATATTAAGATATTTATTAATTTTTTCAGTTGTTCTTATTATTATATTTATATATATTTCAATAATGTAATTATTGTTTAATAAAGTTTTGTTTTTTAAATATTATTCTATAGTAGGTACTTGTTTTATTTTAGATAAATTTTGATAAACTCAAAGGTTAGTCTGAAAATGTTTATCATATTTTTAGCATTTCAGATCTAAATATCGATATATTCGATGGTAAAACTCATTTTTGATTTAAGTACATCATCTTTCTGTTACGGTTGCAGATTATGGACTATACGACCATATAAGAGTGCGTGGAACGATGCTAAATTATAATGACATAATGTATGTGTATCTGAAGTAATTTATAACTACTATTAGAAGAAAAAAGCCTAGTTATCAATCCAACGTTTAAAATATTTTTTATCAACAAATTTTTATTTAAAATAATTTTTCTTTTATAATAATTGAACATATTATACCTTTTGTCAATTTATAAATTGGTAATAATTTAAAAAAAAAAATAATAAGTAAAATAAATGATATAAAATAACAAGGTTTTTAATATTAATCACTTAGGTATATGACTTAAATTAAGCCCGTAAACGTAATCACCTAAAATAGGTTGTTTAAGAACGTTTTGACAATCTATTTGAAAACATAATTACTTATTATTACGTAATAAAAGCTTTAATATTAAAAATTATTTTTAAAGATTTAATGAAGCGATAACTAATTATTAAAATATATTAGATATTATAATGTTGATAATATTTCCCTTTCAAAGTAGATTATATTAGATGATTACCAATGCACATTGGTTATTACCTATTTAATAGTTATTTATATAGAATGTTGGCTTATATTATAAAATTATAAATTTTTATACTATAGGTATAAAATTGGAGTTAAAAATCAAATATCCTATTAGCTGCGTAATTAAGAATGAAATTTAGTTAAAAATTAATAAATCAGAATTTTAAATTATTTTTTCTAAAACCATTAAGGTTTACACAACACTAAATTCATTTTTTTTTATATAACCTTTAAACTGGGTAAACCGAGTTATTTTTAATGATCTTACCTAGTTTAATTCATGAATATATATTTTTCCAATACAATTTTACACATTTTTAGAATCATCAATTTAGCAATCATTTCAGTATTCCTTTTTACGATATAATATAAACATAAACATAGATACCTACTCGATTTAAATTTTTTTTTTTTTGTTTTATATGTACTATAATAAAACTTTTTTAGCGTTTGATCATGACGGATTATGGTAGCAAACATAGCGTAAGTAGCTTTCACAACAAAAAATAGTATAATACCAGACATAAAACTTATTATTTAAGTAGTAATATTACTCGTAATGACTACCTCTAATGAGTAAAGACTATTGAGATAAAACTATACAATTAAGAATAAAAAAAAAAAAAAAAGGAAATACAGTTTCTGTGTTTGAAAATGTTATTTTCCGGTTACTTAATGATTTGCAACTAACTACCTACCTACTTATTTGTTACTAATTAGTTATTAGTTATTACCTTTCATAACTAATGCGATATTATTTTCGTAAACATGATGAAGTTGTTTATCGATTATTGATATATTTAGTGTACATATCTACTTCCGATACTGGTTAGAATGCACTTTTCACTTCTCAACACATTGTTTAGACTTTATTAACAATATATAGGTAGGTAACTATCAGAAAATAAAATAACAATAACATATTTGACCTGGTATTTTGCCTAGTTTTTCAAATGTTCATGATAATCAGTGTGTTATTCATATTATATCTAAAATATACCTATATACCTCTCAGTGTATTATTTTATACTCACAACCAATAGGTACCTAACCTAACCTATCTATCTACTACAATAATAATATCAATATTGTTCTAGGACAATATAAATGCACACTAGCATTATATTATTATGTTATAATATCAATACTACCTATAATGGTTTTGCTTAGTTACAATATTTTTACACTAGTCAAAGAAAAAAAGACTCCACATATCGCACAAATGACATTATTGCTTTGTATGGTTGTATTATATACCTACTCGCCAAAGAAAGATCTCCCACGCAATAAAATCTACGTGGTATACATCTCATCGGCTGAAATTATCGTTCTATAGGTAAATTCAGAACCTAATCACTATATCGTCTGTTTCCAATATTTAGCAAAATGTATAACAATAATAACATAGTATGACACTAGAAAATACTAAGCCACAAAAAGCCCTAGTGTGGTTGTGGTTATATTTACTGTGACTTATTGAACCTGACAGCGAAGGGAGACTGGATGTGACTGGAGATCAGAACTCGTAGATTAATGTATTGTTATCTGAGGAATAGAAAAACGAGAAACAAAAAAAATTTGAAACCCCCTTGCTCGCATCTTATATAGAGAAATTGAGTTTGGGCCAAAAAAAAAAAAAAAATAGGTATACCTAATAAATAAATGCTATTAACAGACAGCACGTGTGGTGCTTCAATAACTTACCTGCGGCTGTGTACTTGGGCATCTCGGAACCGCGCACCAGCTACACCTAATATTAATATAGTCGAAATCGATGTCACGAGTCGGTATATTAAAATATGACGTGAATGAGCGACGTAATATCTGTCAAACTAAGACCGATTGACAAAAATCTTGTGTGTGCGTGTGTGTGCGATTGTTGTCGACGGCGCGGATCACTGTGGCGGTCTGGTGTTCGTGTATAGGACGCCGGTCGCCGCAGACTCTTGGACGTTTCCAAAAGAAAGTTGAGTAGGTACGATGTATAATTATTATATTATTGTCGGAGTGTGTAATACCGCTATCGGGGGAACCGCGGTCGGATCAGGTGGAGGGGAGTCCCCGCTCGGAATGGGGTGTCGATATAGGTACCCGAGGTATACCTACACAACACTACGATATTATTAAACATTCGTATGCGTGCAGTATAATAAAGTGTCGTCGTCGTTGGGTTATTATTATTATACTGTGCCGGTAAAACAAGAGGTCGCGCAGCGTCTGTATACCTGTACGGTGCGGTTGTTGTCCGTCTCTCTCACTCTCACTCTTTCTCGCTCTTCTCTCCGGCTGCGGTTATAACCTTCCGCCACCGGACCGGTGTAATAGGACAAAACACGTAATGCGTTCGTCGTGCTCACATATTATAATGGATGTTATTATACACGCCGCCTATATATGTATGTTTGTGTGCGTATATTATGTTTAATAATATTATTATACGTATCTCGCAGCACGGTTACGTAAACCGGTGCGGCGGTGCGTATTTAGACGGTGTGTGCTGCTTGCGTGACGAAACGTGCGAAAACGAGGAAGAGTCATGAAACGTGGAAATAACAGCGAAATAGTGAATACCTTCATCAATGCGCCGGCGGCCAGAATAACAGAAAACAATCGTATCCCATCGCAACACAACTACTACGCAAATTGAAACAAATGTTCGGTAGGGATTTAGCTAGGCACAACATCCCATGATCTTCTGTTTAAATAAAATACGTGTGTGTGTGTGTAAGCGATCAACAGTCAAATCTATCACACTCGGGGTGGTGATAGGATTTGGTACACTGCAGTTAATCCGAGGATGTGCTAATTTTTTTAAATTTTGTTGGCTCGTGTTTTTTTATTTTGATAGGGTGTCTGTATTTTATATTTGGGCAAAACCATCCAAATGATTGTTAAAAATATGTGTAGTTTACATTTAACTGAGTTTAAGAAGGGTTATCCCTTGGCTATCCACTAGCATTTAATTTGTCAACATGTCAACATGTAGAACCAGTTGCATCTATTCAATATATAGAGTGATTCATCAAGCATGCCTCACACCTCATTGGTTCCTATAATTATGAATTTATTTAAATTCTAATTTTTGAAGTTTTTTAATATAACTATTACTATTTTAACGATTATATTTTAAAATTTTTAATATTTTTGGTGATTTGGAGATTCATGTGGCGAAACAAACTTCTGTTTTTCAAATGAGAACGCCCCTTTTTTACTGTTAATTTATTATTTTTCAGAGAATTTTGCTGTAGGTAGGGGAACACGGGGCAAAGTGGGGACGCTAATGGCTATCGACCTGTAAATCACTTAAAAATCTATTTTTTCCATTCAAATTTTTTTCACACAATCTAAGGTTATGGTAATTAATAATACATTTTTATGAAAATTTGATTTTTTTTTTATGTAAGTTTAAAAGGATGTAATAAACAGTACAGTTTACCCCACGTATGGGGCAAAGTGGGGACTTAAGAAAAAATTCCATGTATTTTAAATAATTTTATAAACACAACAAATTATTTATAAAAAAAAGTTAATATACTTAAGTGTATAGCTTAAGTTAAAAGAAATAAAATTATATATTTAAATTTTTATATGTTATAAAACATAAAAATAATTTTAGGAACAAAATTCACATTTAAGCATGGTTTTCTAATCTTTTTCTTCAAACTCAGCACAAATACAATGAAGCCATTTTTTACATAATAGACACTGAATCTACCCATCAACTGAAGTTCTCCCTTTATTTTAAGAATGTTTGGGTTGTTACCACATTGCCAAAGACAGGTATAAACCACTTTGCCCCAAATAATTTTATTTTATTTAAATACCTAAAAATAAATAAAGAACAGACATTTTAATAAAAAAAAAAATTATTTATAACAAAGCTCAAAGTAATTGAATATATAAATAACAAATTATGCAATTCTATTATCAAGTAAATTATAATAGGCATATGTCCAGTTTTTCACTGATTAATTGCAAAATAATATATAGTATAAAATAGTTTGATTCAAAACTTCTACCACACAATCTCAGACGACCAAAAGAGTGCCATAAATCTAATATTATTATCAATTTCTTACATTAAATAAATAGATAATACTATGTCCCACTTTGCCCCGGTACCCCACTTTGGCCAATGTTCCCCTACCTATTTCAAAATGTGCAGGTACAAGTAGTTTCTAACTCATTAATATGTTTATTGTTTATACTAAGGATAATAGTCCTTATAAATGGTTTTACATAAATATAAAATAGATATAGGTAATATTGGATCTAGCATTAATTATACTTCTACTGTTATGACAAATTGTAAATGATGATGGATTAATATTAATTACCAAACTGTTAAAATAAAAATAACGCCATATCTCCTAAACCCATTACTATGGACCCATTATCTTTATTACACAGGGCATTAACAGAGAAACTACTAGTATGAATTTTTAATTAGTTTCCACTTACCTTCGTCAATATTTTCAGACATATTATTAGCTAAATAACTGACAGTAGAAAGGGAGGGATTCTCATTAAAAAAAAAAACAAAAGTTTATATCTCCACACTTCATAGGTAGCATAAAAAATTCAAGGTTTTTAAAATATGGCGCTTAAATAAATTAAAAAATTCTAAAATCTTATTTTGTTTATTATCGAAATATTGAAAGGGGGTAAACTTGCTTGGTGAATCACTCAGTATATACTGTGTGTTCACTGAAACAGGGAACACTTTATCACTGTTGCAAGTCCTTGCCGCTCGTCATTGCTAGTACTAAATTTGTTCGTTGTTTTAAGTCCTAATTCACCATTGTAAGTTCTTGCAGCAGGTTGAATGTCCTCGCTCCCTATTGCAAGTATACATAAAGCATCCTGTTGCAAGTCATTGCTCGACGTTGAAAATACTTGCTGTCTGCTGGCTGTTACAAGTCATTGAGAGTGGTTGCAAATCCTTGCTAGCTATTGTATGTTCTTTCATCCAGTTGCAAGTCCTTGCTCGCCCATGCAATTATTAGTTTAATAACGAATGATGGGTCTTTTCCAAAAGTTCATATTTTTATAATGATTTGTATCACAGTCGTAAAAAGGAAACAATAGATTATATTACGTACAATTAAAAAATATAAAATTTAATTTAATATTTTTTTAAAAAATTATACCTAGCTCTAATTCCGCCAATTTTCGGTTTAGAATACAAGTTGATAGAAAAAAATTACTTGAAAAAAAATCGATAAACCCAAAAATAATATTCAAAATAAGGGTTACTATTAAAAAAAATGCACAAAATACATAATTAAAAAAATTGGAAGTTACAGGAATTTATGATCCATTAGTCTTTTTAAATGTCCCACAAACAGAATGGAAAAATATTTACAGGGTACTGAATGATAAAGTGTTTCCTGTTTTTGTGAACACAATGTATTAAGAGGATGTCACACCCACATGACGTGTTGTGTAAGTCTTACTAATGTACAACATAGAAAAAACTGTTTTGCGAGGGACAACTTTTCTTTTCTCGCACCATATTTGTTGTAGAACTACCAAATTTTCACAACACGTAAAGAAGAAATTTATCTGTGCAATTTATCTGTGTTTTTTTTTTTAATAGCACCATCCAATCATTTTTTATAAGCAAATGAAAAAAAAACAAAAAAACAAAATGTTTAGAAGCAAATCACTTTTATTGTATTTATGTTATCTAAAATATGGGCACCCTGTTGCATAGATCATTTTTCACCCTATATGTTCAGAAATTTTGGAGCAATGGAGCCACTATTACAAACACAATAAGATTTAAGTTGTCCCGTGCAAAACAGTTTTTACTATGTTGTACATTTGTACAACACATGCGTGTGTGACACCCTGTTAAGGATTCCACGCGACTGGGGGGTGTTATAATAAACCAGTGAAACTACCTACCCATTTTTATTGCAAAAATAATCTATGTTATATATCAAATTTTTTTAGTTTTTAATGAACTTAGTTCCTTCCTTATAACTACGATACTATACCTCAGTGGGTTGCAGCAGAGCCCTAATTATGGGAGCTAAGGGGCTCCGACATAATTAGGAACTCCTTACTAGACTACGACCGATAAACGAAATTCCGTACCGGGCTAAGCGTGCACTCGTTGGCGATATACAGCGGCCGATAATATATACAGTGGCAGTGTGGCACGATGATAAGTGTGCATCACACTGCAGGGGTCCTCGGAGGTTTATGATAAATTGTACTACATAAAATATAAAATCAGAATTAAAATGATTTAAAATCTTAAACCCACCTCCTATACAATATTATATTATCTTCCTTATGAGTTATGACCTTTAGAAATTTCTCGGTGGGAAATGGAAATTACCGATACTATAATCTTTATCGCGCACAGTGCAATAATTATTGTATTATAATAAAACGTATCAATTTACTTGTATCACAAGAAATTGTACTAACGCTGTGAGCAGAAAAACTAATTTCACAAAACAACTTTGATACTGCAAGTACAATTATTATCCATTTATATTATAGGGGGGACCTTGGCACCTTGTCATTATAACAAGTCGTTTACTAAACAATTTGAAAATACGGGTATTTTTAAATTTGTTTATTTTATAACACCTAAACACTAAATAAAAGTATAATAATATATTACCTAATCGTATAAATCGTAGAGTGGTTGAGTTGGTATAATTATAGATTCTGAGCGGAGTGATGAATGTATTGGTTTAACAGTGATGT